AAAAAAACAACAGAGATATTGACACTTCTTTCGTGATATGAGGCTAACGTAGCTTGGAAGTAACTGGAAAAGTAATAACATCAGAATTTTTCTGATATAGGAAGCGGGAACACTCTACGCTGGTAGAAGGCAGCAGATGGTAAATCGAGACAGTATGTCTTTGATGGTTGTCCTTGTCCAGTGCATGCTCCAGCGGCATCGAGATTTTTTTTGGAAAAATTCTACTACGCGTAACCTATACTTTTGCGGGTATTTGTGAAACTGTAATGAAAATTTGAATTTCTAAACCTTTTCTGTTGTTCTAAAGGAAAAAAGCCACTTTCACAATTTTGAGATGTGCCTGATACGATAGCCGGCATACTGACCTTTGGTAAAGGATCACCGGTCACTTTAACTGTCCATCTTAATTGTTCGCCTTCAACCTTTTCTTCACTTATCAACCTCTGCGTGAAATCTGGTGCGACTGTCCTTGCTGAAGAAAAATATGACTTGGACTTGCAAAAGAACTGACTGGATAAATTTTAACGAGTCTGCGAGAACTTACGACGGACTACAAGTTGTGCACTGCTTGTAGCCACTCCACTAGGGTTGCGGGCTGTGCACATATATTTACCAGCATGGATACTGCGGCAGTTCTAAATGAATTGGTCGAATTTTACAGTTACTCAAAAAAGGAAGGTGCATGTACCTTAAATGAAAGAGAGACTCTGCCACCAATATTGCTAACTTCAACGTCTGGTAGAGATGTTCGGGTAAAGGGTACGCCGTCTTTGGTCCATTCTATGGTAGGGGCTGGCCATCCTAAATCATGTCAGATAGCTTTTGATCGAAAAAATATAAGATGCTGCGAATCTCTGACCGGTCACGATGCCTTCAAATCGCGCAGATTCTCCATCAACTGCGACGGCTGCCACTAAAGTCTGTGTGAAATGAGGAGGATGACCTGCAGATTGTTGCTGTTGCAAATCGTACTGTTCTAACATTTCCTAAAATAAATAAGATTACTAAGACGATTTGGTTAGAGCTAAAGCTATGAAGACACCACCTCATCTCTTCGACCTTGGAACCTCTTCGCTGGTGGTGGGGTCACTAATCGACTTGTCTCATGCTTCTGCGGTCGTCTTTGCTCATACTCAAACATGGCAAATTCTTCCGTTACCTGCGAAAAATAATAGCTTACTATGATTTCGAGAATAATTATATTTTTTTACCGTAGTATGCTCAGTTGGCGATTTACATTCAGTGATCTTCTGAGATGGCACAGCGACACCGTTCCTCTTGTGATGTTGGATCAAAGATTGTGGTCGAACATGCAGCATTGTTATTGACTCCGTTTTTCCTCGCGTGTTCTGTAAATGATACTTTTGTACTGTCTACGCACTTCATGTTTATAGTTTCCGGCCTCTTGAACACGAGTTTACACAATGTTATATCAACTCATAAGAAAAACTGAAGGACCCTTTTGGCTTGAACCACAAAACTTGTCTTTGCAGTAAGACATAAATGATCACCTCGGCTACAACTTTGTAGTAACCAGCATGTTCTAAACGCGCTTTTTCGATCACTATCGAGTAGGTGTCGACTGAGGTAACAATCTGTAAAAAGATCAGAATTTTAAGATCAA